GCTGGCTGGGGAATTCTGGGAGTTGAAGTCCACACATCTTCAAACGGCCAAGGTTGAGAAACACTGCCTTAGATTATGATAAACCATCTTTTTTCTATCATCATGGGGCACTTTCTTTCAAGGGTGGGACCAAAGCCAGAAGGAAGTGGGACACCCCTTTCTCAAACCTTTCTTTTCCTCTTTCTGAGAGTTTCTCTCTCCCTCTCTCAAGCGGGTGAATACAGGGAAAGAAAGGAGAGCTTTACCAATCTCTTCCATGGGAGTTTAGAAATGAGGTCTCTAGCTGCAAGTTGTCCACCCCTAGGTTAGATCTACCAGAATTTTGTATCTCTAGATTTTCTATTAATAATATGGGGTTTATGAGGGTTATGAGACATGAGGGTTGTTATCAGGATGATTAGATTAATATACATGGAGTTCCTCCAACAATTGGTAGTATTGTTTACATGATGAAGTTGATGACGATGATGATGATTGTGGTGATGATGATGAAGTTGATGAAGATGATTAAAATAGGAAGACTTCCTATCTATAGGAGATTTATCTGTTACCAAAACACAGCTCCTTGGGTATCTCTACTCTTCAAATAGTAACTAGAAATCTGTGTAGAGGAAACTTCTGGATAATCCTGAATAGTTTTCCTGTAGATCCATTTCCTTCTAGGGAGAGTCACTGACTGCATTCAGATACACACTTAACCTGCTTACTGAATACACTTTCTGGGTTCACACATTAAAGCAAAAATTATGCAAAACAGGCTGGGTTTGTGGTGGTCACCAAAACGATACTAAATAAAGTTAATCCTAGGAAAAATTAATGTGCTGGCCAAATACATGCACCCAGTCTTTAACAGACCTGGATAATTTGCTTATTCTGATCAAAGCCATAGCTTCAAAAAGAGGCTGTAGCTCAGTGGTTGAGTACATGATGTGGATCCAGGAAGTCCCAGATCAAAAAGCTAAACTTCCAGATTATACAAAGCTGGACTAGATAGATCAATATTTTGGTTCAGTCCAGGCACACTATCTGATAGTAGGAAGGGCTGGATTTGGCCCTGAGATGCACCTTTCCTCTTCTCCACAGCAAGGCCAGACTGATGGCATTGCCAACACCGTCACTAGCCAGAAGAACTTGGTGCGCCTGGAAGGACTGAAGCCCAATGCTGCATACGTGGTACAAGTCCGGGCTCGCACAGTGGCAGGTTATGGCCAATACAGCTTTCCCATGGAGTTTCGGACACCAGTTGAGGATGGTATGCAATTTGTCATCTGCCCCATCTTTTCTACCCTATTCTCCTGCTCCCATTTCCTAACTCTTTTCCTTTCTTTCATCCAACTTGTAATAGGCTCCAGTAGCAAGAGCTTCCAGGAACTGCCTCTTATTGTTGGCTCAGCAACTGCAGGACTTGTCTTTGTGATAGCAGTGGTGGTGATCGCCATTGTCTGCTTCAGGTACCATCTCTTGAATGGCTTGGGGCTACCTGGGCACTGGAGCTCCAGGAACGGGAGGAAACAAGTTAGATACCAGCTCCTCCAAGAGCTTGGCCCAAGTCTTCAGTCTCATGGGTTAATTGGGAATCCTCTACATATGAGAGTGCATGAATAAGAGGGCTGGGCAAAGCTCCTCAGAAAGTTTGAATCCCCTCAAAGGTGTAGTGTAGCCCCCTTGCTTCTAAAAGCAAAGTGAAGTAACCACATTGCTCCACTTCACTCTGTTTACAGCCCCTTTCAGTCTTATTTGGGAAGGACTGTGGGAGAAGGCTGGGTGGCTTTTGGCAAATGCTATAGAGTTGTCTGCAGTGTGTGCCAGCCTGGATGGACAGAGAAGGTCTTCCAGGCTGGGTGGCTTTGGTGCATGCTAAATCCTGCGCCATGTCCCAAAGCTGCCCAGCCTGGAAGCTTTGATGGGCGCTGAAGAGAAGTCCTTGAAATGCCTTCTCTTGCCACACTGGCCCAGTTCAGTTTGAGGCAACACTGCTTACTTCATGAAGGCAAAGCGTGCTGCCTCTTCAATCAACAGAATGGATTGCGTCTCTTCCATGATGCAAACCACTTCATCCAAGCAACTCTCAGTTGCTCCACACAGGCCTAATGGATAACAAGCAGGGTTGGTGTGGTTGGGTGAGTGTTGTTATTGCAGCTTTGGAGGCAAGGAACCTTCCCAAAGCAAGCCCGTGGACATCCAGCTGCTGGCATATGATCTCTGATCTGAAAATCAGTGTTTAGATTTTTGGGGAAATGGTGAAAGCCACTGCAGTTCAATGTAGCTCAGATCTTGTAGACAACTTGCATTATAAGTGACTCTTCCTTTCTCTTTTGGTCAGGAAGCAGCAAAACAATACCGAATCAGAGTACACTGAGAAACTGCAGCAATACAGTGAGTATCACCTTGTTGTGGCACACCCCACATGTGTCAGCTCAACAAGGTAGACCAGACAATGTAACCAATGACATACAGGTCAGGAGTACTTTATTGTAACAGCTATAGGAAAGAATCTTGCAAGTCTGAATGAGTTTCCTTTATCTGTGTGTGAACTAGGTAGGGGCTTGTCTGAGACGTTTTCTCATGTTATTTTCTTGGGCCAGGCTCAAGCCTCTCTTATCTGACTGTTGCTTTGGTGGCAGCTCTTCCTCCTATCCTTCAAGGCCATTCCCTCTGCCCTCTACAACATGGTGCATGTGAAAATTTGCCTTGTAACCTCTCTAGATATTTGCTTACCCTTTCATTACTGCAGCATAAGGACTGAACTTCTTACATTTTGCGTGGAGGTAGTAGGCATGATCCGTGCCCTACAACAACTGCAGAGTTTGCATCATCTTTGATACCCTTAGGGAAACTGCCATGGTGATATGTAACCTCCAAACTGGGGCTTCCTTATAGCTCATGCACTTAGAAGAAGCTGTGCACAAGCAAGGCAATCTTGTAAACTCTGAACCTTAGCTAGTTTGGTATCCCATAAACCAGTATTTCTCAACCTTAGCAACTTTAAGATGTATGGACTTCAACTCCCAGAATTCCCCAGCTAGCATGCTGACTGGGGAATTCTGGGAGTTGAAGTCCACACATCTTAAAGTTGTCAAGGTTGAGAAACATTGCATAAACTTTCAAATTTTAATTTTATGGATTTTTAATGACTTGAATTGTTTACTTATTTATTAGGCAACTTTATCTAGCCGCCCATCTACCAGAGGGACTCTGGGGGGTGAACAGAGATAACAATATAATCCAAGTGTGCAATCAGTTTAAAGAGAACTAATTCTGGCCCCCTAAAAAATCTCATTGCTAACATATTGTATATACTTAAGCCTATGCAGAGCTCCATTAACATCCTGGCCCCAGAGCCTGGGGGAAAAGCCAGCTCGTCGCCCCCTTCCAGAAGGCCAATAGGATCTTATTTGTTTTATTGCCTAATTAATTGCTTTATTAATGACTTTGCAAAGGTATGGGACTGCACATATCTTAAACTGCTTTTCCTTACTTACTTGTTATAAATAAGTTGTCTTTATTAACTTCTGTTTTTGCAATGTTATTATGTAAAGATTAGTAATGTTTGGTTGTCTTCACATTCTGGTGTTTTAATTGTTATTTAATTAGTTTGTTGTGCACACTGTGTTAAAGGGCACACTATAAATTACTTCATAATTATAATTATAACATGATAATTTACACTATGCCTTTTAACATAGTTAATATATTGCTTTATTTCAGATACGGTTATTGTCATTACTGTATTATTATTATCATTTTCAGAATATTAGTCTGTTCAGAAGAATACTTAGCAAACCCTGATAATTTAGGATTAATTTAAGCTTTATCCCAAAGTCTAAGAATTGTCAAAATACCCTCGTGTATGTGTGTGTGTGAGAGAGAGAGAGAGAGAGAGAGAGAGACATGGTGCCCTGCAAAGGTATTTTTTGTAAATTAAATGTGGTGAGATCATATACTGTAATTCTCATGACAATGAATGTGCCTATTCAGGTTATTTTTGTTTTCAATTGCATAATTTGCTACTGGGCTTCCAGTCTCCAAGATAATCAGGAAGAAAATATTTATGTGTGTGTGTCTGTGTGTGTGTGTGTGTGTGTGTGTGTGTGTCTGTCTGTCTGTCTGTCTGTCTGTCTATCTATCTATCTATCTATCTTGGATTTGGAGATAGGGGTCTCTGATAGGAATGAGCCTTAAATATGGCCTCCTCCAACGAGGTAAGGGTATGTGGGAAAGACTTTGGGAGATGGGGAGAAGAGATGCTGCCAAGGGAACAGTCAGATGAGAGGCAGCATAGCCCACAGGTGGATAGTGGGTGGAGCAAGAGGCTCAGAAGGGACCCTCCCTAGTTTCTCAGGCTTTAAAGGAGACAGCAGGAGAATTGTACTTTCAGATTTGCAAGGTTCTATTCCTGTAGCTTTACAATAAAATAGAATTAATTATCTGGTCACGTTTTCTCTCTGGTCTACCTGGTAAGGCTGACAGATACTAGCGGACAATCTCTTTCTCCCATCTGCTCAACTCTTCTGATCTCTGCCTTTGCAGTCACTCCAGGAATGAAGGTTTATGTTGACCCCTTCACCTACGAGGACCCAAATGAAGCTGTCCGGGAGTTTGCCAAAGAAATCGACATTTCTTGTGTAAAAATCGAGGAAGTGATTGGAGCAGGCAAGTCACCCAGTGGCAGCCTAGCTGACTGTCCCCAAGGGGAGGAGAAAGCAGAAGGGCTGGCTATGATGCGGTGTCTCCTCTCTCCCTTGCTCCCCAGGTGAATTTGGGGAAGTTTGCCGGGGCCGTCTCAAGCTGCCAGGCAGGCGGGAAATCTTTGTGGCCATCAAGACACTGAAGGTGGGCTACACGGAGCGGCAGAGGCGGGACTTCCTGAGCGAAGCGAGCATCATGGGACAGTTTGACCACCCCAACATCATCCATCTGGAGGGCGTCGTCACCAAGAGTCGGCCAGTCATGATAGTTACAGAGTTCATGGAGAACTGCGCCCTTGACTCCTTCCTCCGGGTGAGGAGCAACCTCTACTCTCCCTTAACGCTTACAGAGTTCTTTCCAAAAAAGGGAGCCCATCCATTTCTTCTGCAAGGGCTTCCAAACACACCTGGTTTTCTTCTTCACTCAGGTTTCTCTTGGTGTGGCCTGCAAACTAAAAACCCCGAGAGGGTTATCTGTGTTTTCCAATGTATATATAAGGAGAAAAGTGAATTCATGTAGAAATAAGGCAGATTTAGAAATTGGGCCGAGATTGGCAAGCCTTGGCTGACTTTGGCATGAGGGTTCCATCTCTGGCAGTGCAAGAGAGATGGCAGGGGCAACTAAAAGCATCTGCTGCCTGCTTCTCCTGGGGATGCCCAGACTTTTGCCAGAAATCACCTCTGCATTTGCATGCATGCATTATTTTCCCCCTGAGAACATGACTTTCTTCTGAAAAGAAACAAAGCCAAGGTTCTTATTATGTCACGACCGCACTGCGTAAAGTGATTGTGTACAATAGGAGAACAGGGAGATAAGCTGGAAGGAGGATTGATTCTGCTGTACACCACCCAGGATTATTTCCAAGCAACGAGGTGAACTTTCACACTTCTTTCTAGCCCAGGGGCCAAGGCCAGCATGCAGCTGGCTCTCTGTTTTTCCAGGTGTTTCCCAAACGTGCTTGTAATCCCAGTAGCTTGATGAGAAGACATTGCAAGGCAAGGTGGTTGCATTGGGAATCTACAAATTCTTTCATTTCAGAACTCTGGGTGTAACTCCTTCCAACCAGGCCTGCCTTCAAAACAGCTCATGCTATCCGAGATGGAAAACATCTCAAGATGCCTGGCTGGCTAGAAATAGGATGCTGATACTTAGCAGGATGAAACTTCTCTTAGTCATGAGCGCCTTATCTTTTTAAATACCGTTCAACCCCCTTTGGCTTTGGGGAGAATAGAGTTGTTTGGTGATCTTGCTCTCACTGAACAATATTAGAAGAGTCAGTGGGAGGACTTTTTATGCCACTCCTGTGAATAAAGAGCAGAGGATTTTATTTTTCCTAAAACGTGTCTGAAATCTGCCTTTGTCGTCCCAACAGCTGAATGACGGGCAGTTCACTGTGATCCAGCTAGTTGGCATGCTCCGTGGCATTGCAGCCGGTATGAAGTACCTCTCAGAGATGAACTACGTGCACCGGGACCTGGCTGCCCGCAACATTCTTGTCAACAGCAATCTGGTGTGCAAAGTGTCAGATTTTGGACTCTCACGGTTTTTAGAGGACGATCCATCTGACCCTACCTACACCAGTTCACTGGTAGGTGAAAATCTTGACGACGTCTCTCTTTCCTTCTGTCATGAAGGCTTTGCAAAGAAGGGTGTGGAATCCCCATCCCACTGAATCTGTATTTTGGTCAAAGACCTGGAGCTCACTCAATGGTCCCACTTGCTAGAAACCCCCCCCCCCCCCCAAGTTCAAGGAAGAGAGGAATCCTGCCAAGGCAAAACTAAAATTACATGAAGGGAAATATCCTGTGTAATTGCTCAGGAATAGATCTGGGATTGATGAGCAGAGCGTGGCTGATCTCAGAAGACTAACAAGGTTGAATCTGGTTATTACTTGGATGGGAGACAACCAAGAAAACCTAGCACTGTAGATTAAACAGTGGGTGGCATCTTCATGGACATGTCCACATCATTTCTTTGGCAGGAGCACAGAAGTGGTTTTGGTATTTGGATATGTTCATGAAGTCACTAGGATTTGAGTTTGGCTCAGAGGAGACTTTATTAGAAGAAATACATGTTAATGCAATGGGTGATTGATTTATGGAACATACTGCCACAGGGTATAACTCCTGACCCAAATGGCTTTAAGAGGGATATAACCAAATCATGGAAGAGTAGATCTGTCAGAAGCAGTCCAGCTCTTGATGCCAGCTGCTTAGGAGGAGAAAAGTGGAAGACAATATTACCTTCTAATGAATGACTCTTGGAAATAAATACTGGCTTGGAAGATTATTGGTCAGATCCAGCTACCAAAATTAGCAACTTCGGTCTTCATTGGGCCATCCATGGTGTTAAAGGAAGGAGATTTGCACCGAAAGAGGGCCCAGCTCCTCTATATAATTAAAGTCAGATAGACATTTAACCCTCCCATTGAAACTTTGGGGCACACCTGTTTCTGTGGCTGCACTCTGCAGCCTACATAATGTTACCTGTTGCTAGTTGTGGCATTTTAGTTGATGGGAGGAAGGGAGAGGGCCATGGTTTAAATCCTTCCCTAGATTTGCTCCATTTCTTAATCTCTCTGCAGGTTGGGAAAGTTTTAACCTATCTTTCTCCAAGATTTCCTAATTTGAAGGCCCCTTTGCCCTGTGAATTAACATTCAACCGTTTTCACTCCTATTGAAACTGATGTAGTAATGAACAGCCATGGATACTCCAACTAATGCTACTGGTCGTGAGCTATATTGGATTTCAGTTTCAGCCCTGATCTCTGTGCCTCCTGGTCTTTCCCAAAGACTTTTAAATAAAGCTTTGAGAGCACCAAGGAAAGTAATGTAATATTCAGGAGACAATGGGCTGCAGGAATGCGCAGTTTCTCCCAAACAATTCTCTATCTATAATTGGCAGCCATTTTAAGGTAACCCCCTCTTTGCAAGGACAGGTGTGGGAAACACCTTGGTTTCAGCACATGTCTTTTCCAAGCAACGTTAGGCAATCATGGGGTAGCCTCCCATCTCTTGCAGTGACTAGAACTTGCAGGTGAACCAAGAGGTGACCCCGAGTTAATTGTGTGGTGGTATCTTCTGGCAGGGTGGTAAGATCCCAATCCGGTGGACAGCCCCAGAAGCTATCGCCTATCGCAAGTTCACTTCTGCCAGTGACGTGTGGAGCTATGGGATTGTAATGTGGGAAGTGATGTCTTACGGTGAGAGGCCGTACTGGGACATGTCTAACCAAGATGTAAGTACGCTCAGCCAAGCTGGGAGAATTTGCAAGGAAAGGGGAAAAGAGAAGGGCTGGAGCAAAGTCTCAGCCACTGAGTCGCGTGTTCTGTTGCTCTTGCAGGTAATCAACGCAGTGGAGCAAGACTACCGCCTTCCTCCACCTATGGACTGCCCCACGGCGCTGCACCAGCTCATGTTGGACTGCTGGGTACGCGATCGCAACCTTCGCCCCAAGTTTGCACAGATAGTGAATACGCTGGACAAGCTTATCCGGAACGCAGCCAGCTTGAAGGTCATCGCCAGCGTCCAGTCTGGGTCAGTGTCGTTTGCCCCTTCGCCCTCTCCAAGCACAGGCAACCTGCTCTGTCTGGACTAGTAGCATCAAGTCTCTAGTTCTCATGGTTTATGGCAGCCAACTGGATATAACCTTGGGAGGTGGAGGCAGGCAGCAGCCGGGGCCTGAGCGAAGAGCCAAACGGGTAGACTGGGAACCAGATGGCCCCCTTAACCTTCCGTGTGCCGCAGGACCGCCACGCCTGTCCCCGTGGCTCGGCCACCCACCACCCCACCCCCTTGAGCCGCCTCTGACCTCTGGGCTCTCTCGTCCTTCGCAGCGTGTCTCAGCCGCTCCTGGATCGCACGGTGCCCGATTATACTACCTTCACTACTGTGGGCGACTGGCTGGACGCTATCAAAATGGGACGGTACAAGGAGAACTTTGGCAACGCCGGCTTTGCCTCGTTTGACCTGGTGGCCCAAATGACCGCTGAGTAAGTAGGGAGGGATGGCGGCAAAGGACAGCGGCGGGAGACGCAGCCATCTGCTGTCCTGCTGGGAATGTATCCAATCTGTGTCCTTCCACCATTCATGGGAAACATCTGTGCAGTTGGTGGAAGAAATGCTGGAAATTCAATGCAGGCTGGGTGTGCTGTGGGTTGACTAAGTCTCCAGGTGAGTGCGATAGTAAGTGTTGGGCTTGCACACATTCACTTCGGTCTCCAAGTGTCCTTGTTGAAGGGGGTCTTAACTGCTGAATGGGAAAATTCCTCATTGGAAGAAATGCTGGGCCTTTTTCACTGATCCGTTAACCTGATGAAAAGAGACCAAGATACATTGTCAGCACATGGGGGCAAATTATCACAGAACCGCTTCCCTGGTTTGGGAGCACCATTTCTGGAATCCTGTAGGTTTTCAGGCCATGGTGGGAGACGTTAGTTTGTGATGGACGGCTTCTTGGAGAAGTGCTTGCCAAGAATGCTAGAGAGGGGGTTCGTACACACAACCACCTGGAGGTGCCTTCCTTCTGGCCTTGAGATGGAAGGAGAAGAGGTCCCTTTAAAACTGCTGCCCCACCGCTGATCTTTAAGTGCATCTCAAGAACGTGGCTGGTAGTATCGCTGTCCACATGGAAAGTAACAGGGATTCCTCTCTGGGTAACAGGGTTGGTTCTGGGCTGGGGAGAAAGCGGCAGGCAAGGTCCGTACAGGCAACCTCCACCATTCCTATTTTTCTTCTCCCTTTAAATTCAGTGCTTGTCCCAGGAAGGGAACCATTGTCTGCTGCCGACTTGAGCTCATCCTCTGCCAGCCACCATCCTTTCTCTTTTTCTCCTCTGACCCATCTCCACCTTTTCCACAGTGGGAAAACTTCCTTTGCAACTTAGACAGGCCACCAGGATGCAAACAATGCTCTCTTTTTGCCAGACCAACAACTGAATAAAACTACGACCGAAGCAAAAAAAAAAAGGGGGGGGGAGCTATGGAAAAGATGTTATTTTACTGTTAACAAAAGAAAACTGGAGGGCAGTCTATCCAATCAATCCATTTTCTGTTCTTGGCCACAAAACAAAGAAACATATATTTTGAACCATTTTTGTAAAACTGATTCTCTAATAATATCTCACTCAAGGAAGACCTACATTCAGGCTTCCAGGACGTCAGGATTCCCCTAACCAAACCAACCAAATGCCCCAAAAGGTAGAAAAATATTTGCTGGGTAGGGTTCTCTCTGGTAGCCAAAGCAGAAATGGCCACAGAGGATAGAAGCCAGTGGCTACAGGGGAAGGGTCACCCCTACAGCAGGCAGCCCAGCTGTCTCTCCAAAGACTCCAATTCCACCTAAGATAGCATCTGCGCGTGGGAGATCTTCTTCCATTTTCCCATGGAAAGACCATTTTTCCACCAGATCATCTTGATCTGTCTTCAGCCTAGCCTACCAACAAGCTGGCGCTGAGATGGCGGCTCCTTTGTGAGGACAAGTCCTCAGAAAATAGTAAGTGAGGTGTCTCAGAGCAGTGTGGATTAGCCCTAAGAGGATTTTGGTTTGACCTCCAAGGTGTTTTGATGTTCTGAAGCATCCAGGAACCCCTAAACAGATTAGTTGTGCTATAACTGTGAGTGTGGGTATATATATACCCCTGCTTTGACAGGCCATAGTGACGTTGACAGGCCATCATGGAGTCAATAACAACAGCAACACAACATACTGAATGTGGTACTTCTAATCATGGAGCAATATCCTTTTTAGCTTTCCGGAAGTCCCTCAAGACCTGGTTGTGTCATCAGGCCTGGGGACCCCAGGGAATTGGGGAAATATTGAGATGGTTCCAGTGTAATTAACACCTGCTTTTTGCCCAATATATATTTTTTATTTTTTTAGTTTTGCACCTTTTATCATTTTAAAGTTTTCAATAGTAATATTAATATTTGTTTGTATATATTGTTTTTAGCTTTGTTGTATTCCGCCCAGAGCCACTTGTCTATGAGATGGGCGGCCATAGAAATATGACAAAATAAGAAATAATAACAGTGATTGCGTTCACGCAACATATTTAACCAAATTAATCCATTTGATAGGCTCACCCAATACATTGAGCCATAAACTATCCACACAGGCTGAGTTTTCCCAACACACTAAATCACACACACACACCCCAAAAACTGCCCAAGGTTGTTTGCTGAATTACGTATTCAATTTATATGGCCGCCTACTTGACTTATAACTCAGGGTAGCAAACAGCAGGTAAAAAACAACAATAAAAGCATCAACAATAACTGAAAGATTAACCCTAACCAGAGTTCGCATGTATAAATACATCTATTAGGTCTTTCTTGATCTGATTAAAAATGTTGCATGAATCTACCCACTGTGGACCAGTCTTCCTGCAGAAGATATACCTACATGATCACTAAGAGCAGATACCTACTTGACAACAAATTAATAAAGATGATGGTGATGATGATGATGATGATGATGATGATGATGATGATGATGATGATCACGCACTTGGTGCCACACCAAAAGATCTGGAA